GGGGGCATATAAGCAGACAATGAAAGCTCTTACAATATTCGATGTTGACATTTCTCTAAAAACAGGCTATAGGCTACATGTGCACCACCAAGTCAGAACAGTAGGCTAAATTATGAGGGTGAGGCACATGGGCTACTAACAGCTTACTACACAACATACACTTAGTATTCCTTAGCTACAGTATACATAACTCCCTGGCATATTACATAATTTATGCAGCAGCATACAATAAATGTTTAGACTCACCTTGTTGTGCTCACTTGAACAGGAAGGTGGCGCGGCGGTCCTTCGTGGGCAAATTTTGTCATCAAATTCTGGCATTCTCTGGATTTATGGTGCTTTCAAGACAACAGGGAAATCGGGAAAAAAAACAAGGTTGAATCATGACGTCAGTGATCTTCAGGTTGGAGCTCTAGAAAGAGGCCCAGGTTCCTGACTTGGAATTCCGAATTGGATGACCGTTCAAAAGTATTTTCCCCAGTCGGAGCTCCTTTTTTTCCCCGAGTTCCCAGTTGTCTTGAACTCACTGAAGTCTGAGATTTCCCAGTTCAGAGTTTCCAGTTGTTTTGAACGCGACAGATGTCATGCTGGATTGACAGCATGGCCAATGTTGAATGTTTATCCTTTTCAGCTTGGAAAAAAATACCCTTAAACCTAGACTTGGACCACACACCCACTCCACTGAATAGTAGGCTAGTGATTGCTTTGCAATACTTGTAGTTAGCCACTGTCACTGATTCCTTCCAAAACAACTCATTGTTGAATTTGCAATTTCCAACTTGTTGTGTAATGTTTATGTCCAATGGCCGATGAGCACCGATACGTTTGAACTATAATACACAATACACTCTCGCTATACACCAAGTCACTTGGCTCTGTCATATCCTCACATGGCCTCTCCTATCATTGCTACGCAGACGACACACAACTAATCTTCTCCTTTCCCCCTTCTCATAACCAGGTGGCGAATTGCATCTCTGCATGTCTGGCAGACATATCAGTATGGATGACGGATCACCACCTCAAGCTGAACCTTGGCAAGACGGAGCTGCTCTTCCTCCCGGGGAAGGACTGCCCGTTCCATGATCTCGCCATCACGGTTGACAACTCCGTTGTGTCCTCCTCCCAGAGTGCGAAGAGCCTTGGCGTGACCCTGGACAACACCCTGTCGTTCTCCGCTAACATCAAGGCGGTGACCCGATCCTGTAGGTTCATGCTCTACAACATTCGGAGAGTACGACCCTGCCTTACACAGGAAGCAGCACAGGTCCTAATCCAGGCACTTGTCATCTCCCGTCTGGATTACTGCAACTCGCTGTTGGCTGGGCTCCCTGCCTGTGCCATTAAACCCCTACAACTCATCCAGAATGCCGCAGCCCGTCTGGTGTTCAACCTTCCCAAGTTCTCTCACGTCACCCCGCTCCTCCGCACACTCCACTGGCTTCCAGTTGAACCATGGTGCTTGCCTACGGAGCGGTGAGGGGAACGGCACCTCCGTACCTTCAGGCTCTGATCAGTCCCTACACCCAAACGAGGGCATTGCGTTCATCCACCTCTGGCCTGCTGGCTCCCCTACATCTGCGGAAGCACAGTTCCCGCTCAGCCCAGTCAAAACTGTTCGCTGCTCTGGCACCCCAATGGTGGAACAAGCTCCCTCACGACGCCAGGATAGCAGAGTCACTCACCACCTTCCGGTGACATTTGAAACCCCACCTCTTTAATAATAATAATAATAATATGCCATTTAGCAGACGCTTTTATCCAAAGCGACTTACAGTCGTGCGTGCATACATTTTTTTGTGTATGGGTGGTCCCGGGGATCGAACCCACTACCTTGGCGTTACAAGCGCCGTGCTCTACCAGCTGAGCTTTAAGGAATACCTGGGATAGGATAAAGTCATCCTTCTACCCCACCCCCCCCCAAAAAAAAAAAAAAACATTGTAAAGTGGTTATCCCACTGGCTATAAGGTGAATGCAACAATTTGTAAGTCGCTCTGGATAAGAGCGTCTGCTAAATTACGTAAATGTAAATATGACAAGGATTTAAAAAGTATTGGCCAGTAGATTGTTTACTTGATTCATGATGATGACTGCTAGCTTGCTAGCTAAAATTTAGAAAGTATGATGTTGACATGACCAGTCCAATCAAAGCAACGGTAGATATAACGTCATTTGACGTCGTCTTATCTGTGGCCAATGACCTTGAGCCTTCTTGGATGGGCACTATGTAACTCTATGGCAGTACCCAAGAGGCTTTAATTTTTTTGCTCTCCCTGTATATTTTGCGGTGACATAGTGTCCCCATGAGTGACACAACACTGAGCCAATCACGGCGCAACTAGAGAACATTACCAACCCCTACGCTTCATATTTTCCGCTGGCTGCTCCACCACCACAGAAAGCACTGAGCTAGGCTGAAACACCTGCATTTTGGAGTGGCCTTACTCAAGAAAGCAAAAAAGACACCATGTTCTTATGCGGCTTTATTAACTCAAAAAAATTGTTTTACATTGTTTGCAAACTGATATGCAACACGTATTAATGTCAAAATAACATTCAAAACAGGCAACAACAAAAAAATAAACATTTAGCTCTGCCCCACATGCCCTGAATGACGGGTCGCCACTGACCCTACCAAACTTCTCTGCTAAAACATACTGTATGTCTGTCTGCTGCCTTTTCGTTGTCACAGCCAAAACACAAAATTAAGTGGACTAATGTAACTGTAGATTAAATCGACTTTAGTACATGCTGTGAAAAGGCTGCATTCTGCAATAGGGAAGGGAGTAACAGCAAACTAATTTTGTTGACATTGTACATAAAACAGCGCTACCGTGCTGCTCCTTCTAAAGTTTTATAAAACTCAGCGGAGATCGATCGATCTCTCTCCCTCTCCCTCTCTCTCCCCATGAGGGGCTTTTCTATAAAACGCGCATCCATCTCCCCCATGAGGGGCTTTTCTTTAAAACGCGCATCCAATCACCTTGATTCATTACATAACTAGACCAATCATATGGTTTAATGTGCCGCGGTTCACAGTGCTGTGGCAAGACAGGCCAATAATGATGAGGTTCCGCTCGTGATGTTATTAAATTGCAGTTGCCGATGCTCCGATTTCTAAACGATTTGGAGCACAGTTGAAAAGTTAATGCATTTGATTAATTAGAAAAATAAAACCAGTACTTCTCGATGCGTGAGATAAGAGTGAGCGTGAGAAGAGGCTCAAATGTGTGTCTCTAGGCCAATGCGTGAGAGTTGGCAGCTCTGCTAATTTGATTAGCAATTGGGCAAATTGCAATAATCAATACTTCGAATGACTAACGTTAGGCCTGAGAATCGTTCTCTATATTCTGCAGAAACACCTTCAAATAACCAGTCATTATTCTTGATTTTGTAAGGACAAAGGGTAGACACTAGACAGCAGGTGCATATATACATTTCCTCCAGCTACAACTTGTGTAACCTATGTGAGGAAAGCATTGGTCAATCAAACATCAATATAAAAAGAGGATATTTAAATTCACAAATTAAATGTAACCTTAGTTATTTTAACAACCTCCACTTTCACCTAAGGGAACTGGCACATAAGCAATGGTGCATCTTAGCTAGTTAGCTATAGCTACCTAAAAAGGCATAGCTAGCTAGCTGTGGCAAGCGGAGGGGTATTGTTACAAAATAGCAAGCTATCATTACAATGAAACAAATCAACGCCACTAGTGTCTAAACTGGGGGAAACAAGTTAGCTGCAATGTTGTTGCATTGTTGTCAGCTTGTATTTCACATGTTAGTAATCTAATCGAAAACATAGCTAGCTAACTAACTAACTGACCGACGTTAACTGTAGCTGTGTCTGTGTTGTTGCAAATTATTTTGGACACAGGCAGGAGCTCTTACCTAAGTAGTTGATCCTGACAGCATTCGGGTCATTATATCCAATGGAGCGCTTGTTAACATCCCAAACCAGGTTACCAGAGCAGGACATAATGCTCGAACCTGCTTTTATTTAAAAATACCATTGAAATTCAGTTGTAAACCCTGCCTTCTGACTATCGCCTTTGGATGTTGTTCTCTGCGGGGTCGTTTGGCCGTTGCGACGTAGCTAGCTAACTAGAAGCCAACGTTAGCATGCGTGCTAAGCTATATCCAGCTTTGCTTATCGCCCCCTCTTCGGTCGCTTTATTCCTCTGATGCTGTTTGTTATTTGGGTGGCTCTACTTCTCTCTCTTGTTGTGTCGAACTCCCTGCTTGAAACAACGCGATAAAGCGGTTCCTCAATTGTGTGCGGGCCGTTCTATACGTTCTATTTCTATGCTCGAGACCATTAATCGAGACCGTCAACATTGCAGCAGTATGACGCAGCCCGCAAGGAGTAGACAAAGTCAGTACAGTATGAAGACAGACAGAAACGGCTCTCCAATAGAAATCGCCGCTCACACTTGTAGGCGACGTTGGCTAACTAAGCACATGCGCAGAAGTACGTCATCGGTATAACGATCGTCTCGCGCCAACTGCGCATGTGCAAGCCGTCAAATCAAAGGCACTCCTTCGATATAAAGTTTTGTTTTTGACTAATTAAAACGAGTCAGTTTGTCACTTTCACGAAGTTGGAGTAATAACATGTTTAACTACTTAAGACATTGGCTCGAATCTAGGTTGTGCCTTTCGATTTCGAGAAAATTAAACATCTAAGGAAGAATTCTTCACTTCTCTCGTTTCCTTCTCAAACCCCAAACCCCGACCTGGACTTTTTGGTCTGTTTCGCAAACGTTCCCGGAAATCTCGCGATGTTGCGCCTCTGGGTTTAGAAACTCCAGTCTCTAACAATTAGTTGAAAATCCAGTTGAGGCTATTATATATCATATAGTTATAATTGCGCAATGCTGTAGTAAAGTGGCATCATATTAATACTGGATTATGTAGATAGATGAACAAATGGTAGAGCGTGCCGCTCTTCTCTATCTGCCGTAGCTCAATGAATGGCCCTGGACTCTGGTACACCAATCACGTTAGGAGGATTGGCCCACTACACCAATAGGAATTAGGATGGGCATGTTGCAGTACTGTGCTAGATAGGTTGCGCCGTGAAGAAAAGTCACCACCTTGTGAAGTCGCTCAAATCAAGGCAACCAGGAATGAGCACTGTTGTAGTATAGCAGGCTAGCTGCATTGCAATAGGTTTGCATTAGAAGGTCGAAAGTAGGACAGCGCCTTTGAGATTTTTCCGAACCGTTTTATGACTACAAAACATTGCTGTAAATTTGAGATATAGGGCAATACCAATACTCAAGAGTGTCAAAGTCGAACTAATTTTCCTTCGTAGCTACGTATTTAGCAAGCTAGCTAGCTTGCTAGGTCAAGTGTAGCTAACGTTAGACAGCAACATTAGCCTTTTGCAAACATGGCTGCGATGAGAGCTTCTTATCACAAACTGCTAGACAAGATCGGGCTAATGTTGCCAGCAAAACTGAGACCTCTCTACAATCACCCTGCAGGTAATGTAAATGTTATTAGACTCTGTGACAGCCAGCGTTAGCCATAGATTATCATTAGCAACTGGCGTGCGTCTAGACCCCTTGAGGACGGTACACACTAATGACCGCTGTTGTGGCTGAAGTGGCCTTGGCTTACTTAGTGATTGATGTCAAGAATCCCTTGCTAAATATTTTGATGTGTGCAACCAATATCCTATCTAATGTCGCTGCTCTTAGTGTTTTAAACCCAAACAAATGTGTCATGGCGGTGCCTCTAAATCTGTAAAGCGATGCCAACAGTTTTGCAGATTAGTTATCCCATTGAGTACTTTGCAGTCAATGGTACACAGTAACTGGCTAAATGAGTGTGGTTGCAGGCATAGACATCATTGGTTGCAGATGGTCGCGTGGAGCTTTGTGTGAATGAGAGGATTGTCTGGAATGCAATACCAAAGCGAATGGAAGCTAAGCATAGCATGTTCAGCATTGGCATGGTTCCTTACAGAATGAGTAGTTGCATGTTTTTGGAAATCAATGTGATGCCCTACATGGAAGGAAGAAGTTGAGAGCAAACTGCTTGTCAACATTTGCAGTCTTTTAACAGTCCTACACCAGTAAATTTAGCTACAGCTGTTAACTAGGTAATTAAGCAAATAAAACATCCCTTCATGCTTATTGTCATGTATAAAAATGCCCAGTTGCTATCATGGCTAGAAGAAGAGATCTCAGTGACTTTGAAAGAGGGGTCTCAAAGGAGCATAGGGGGTTTAAAGTGTGTGTGTCTGTCGGTCACCAGATCTCAATCCAATTGAACACTTATGGGAGATTCTAGAGCAGCGCCTGAGAGAGTGTTTTACACCACCATCATAGGCCCAGCGTCGTCCGGGGTAGGCTGTCGTTGTAAATAAGAATTTGTTCTTAACTGACTTGCCTAGTTAAATATAAATTGAAGCTGTTCTGGCAGCTCGTGGCGGCCCCTATTAAGACGCGTTGTTGGTGTTTCCTTTATTTTGACAGTTACATGTATGCGCCTTTGGCAGAAAAATTATATGATTGGCCAAACCTGTAACACTGGTCAAACCTGTTGCATAGCATCCTATGTAGGCCTACATGTAACTGCCAAAATAAAGGAAACACTTGAGTAAATGAAGGATACAAAGTATATTGAAAGCAGGTGCTTCAACACAGGTGTGGTTCCTGAGTTAATTAAGACATTAACATCCCATCATGCTTTGGGTCATGTATAATAATGCCCAGATGCCCTTATTTTGGCTGCGTTTAGACAGGCAGCCCAATTCCGATCTTTTTTTCTCACTAATTGGTCTGAAAGTGTGTGTCTGTCTGTCTCAGCCACCAGATCTCAACCCAATTGAACACTTATTGGAGATTCTGGAGCGGCGCCTGAGACAGCGTTTTCCACCACCATCAACAAAAAAGCAAATGATGGCATTTCTTGAATGGTGTCGCATCCCTCCAATAGAGTTCCAGACACTTGTAGAATCTATGCCAAGGTGCATTGAAGCTGTTCTGGTGGCTCGTGGTGGCCCAACACCCTATTAAGACACTTTGTGGATGTTTCCTTTATTTTGCCAGTTACCTGTATATGCTGTGTATCTTTTGCTGAACTGCATGCTGCTCTGTTGTGGTTATCACTAATAGTTGAATGCTGCCAATGTTACATTTTGTTTATAGGAAGGGGTAACCTTTCAATTATATTTAAAAATATTTCGCATTATCAGGACTTTATTGTGACAGCCTGACATGGCTTGATCATGATGCAAGCATACTTAAGCCTTGTTCACACTGCAGGCCTTAATGCTCAAATCTTCATATTTTTTTGGGGGGGAATACTGACTGTCCAAACAGCAATTTACAAGTGACCAAATCGGATTTGTGTGTGTTCAGACAGCAGTCATTTGCTGACATGGCTACGCTAGTTGTCATAGTAATGACGGGTGTGCAGTGGTGTAGGCTGGTTGGTGGTGCTCGTGCTTCCTATCACTCAGAAGTTATGTAGCAAGCTAAGGTGACAACAATGCCTGCAATGGACGTTTCCCAGTTGCTTTGAATTGTTAAAACCATAGTGTAAAAACACTTTTTTTATAGCCTCAAATGATAAGATAATCTAACTTTCAAAACAAGTATGTTTTAGCTAGCCACAGCAGTCAACTTGCTAGCTAGGTACTGTCATGAAACAAGATGGCACCAATAGACATGGCAGCTCTGTTTCTAGCTCCTAAGGTAGCTGTTTAGCTTTCTAGCACATTCACTAATTTGTTTGTGAACAATTAACAAGCTAGTTAGCTACCACATTCTTGTCAAACTGTCAACAGAGCTGCAAGCAACAAGATATGCCAAATAAGTCTAAAAACCACTTGAGGGCAAATAAATCGGATTTGACCGTTCAGACACAAGTCGTGTGGCCAGGAATCAGATTTGTATCAAAACCACTACGAAGGTGGTTTTGAAATGTGGCTTGAATTATCATATTCCATGTGCTTTTTGGCTGTTCAGACTGCAGGAAAAATAACACATTTTAGAATTGGATATGCCAAATAATAGGACTTGAGTCACTTCAAACTGCTAATGTAAACATGGCTTTAGATTAGGGCTCTAGCCGACACAGCCAACCCTTGCTTTTTACATCTATTCTTGTTGGTAAAAATATATATGTGGAGAAAAAAACAATTAGCCCAATGCTTGAAATATAACTTAAATTGGTGTAAAACAATGATTGCTGGCTAGGAGGACTAATGCCCTGATTTTCTCTGTTTGATTCTTGTTGTGTTGACTTATCACTACATGAACTCTTCCTGTATAGTCAATAATGTTTATCTTTCAATTCAGACTAAAGTTCAGACTAAAGTTGTCAGCACTCTATCATTGCTATTGGAGAACAGAACACAGCTACCAAGGAATAATGTTTTGACCACATGAGGGGTGGTGCCCTAAGCCCAACTCCCTACAAGATGATTGGCTAAAACAGAGAGTTCTCTTCCCTCCTCCTCAGCGTGCAGCCGGAGCCTAGTGTTTCCTGATGGAGACTGGTAGATTAGATTCAGAGCAGACAGTGGTGTTCTTACCGTATTGCATGTGGAAGCTTTTTGTCCACCCCATGGTCCTCCCCAAAGAAGGGCGCTGTGCCACCTTGTGGACTGGCTGTACCACTATGTAAAAAACTTTATTTGTTATAATTTAAGGCCATTTTTTGCTCTAGATTGCAGGAAATTGCAGTTACAGGTGTTTAAACCCCCCCCCAAAAAACAGCATAAATCTTTGAGTATCATCTTATTCATGGAGTGTGAGATGTTACTTAGGAGAGGTCATTTAGCCTTATTTGGTTACCAATGGGCTAAATAGGAGAACAATGAAAATAGTTTAGGCCTACCCATCCACAAGAATCAGTCATATGAAGTATTAAGTGTCTAAGATTTCCCTGCATTGAATTAAACACAGTCAAAGGAATAGTCAGCGCTGTCCCATAATGTTTCATTCAGTGTCCAACTGACAGAACTCTTGGTCAGGATGTAAGCACTGTGGTTATGTCCGTTAAACAAGTCTATGGTAGTGGTCAAATAGCGATTCATGAAAGATTATCAGATGTTATGATGTTGTTGTGACAACACAAGTTACTTTTTTGCTGAGAATCGTATGATATTTCATCATCTGTTCTGTAACCAATTTTCTCATGGATTGTGTCTTCTCTAATTCCAGGTCCAAGGACTATTTTCTTCTGGGCCCCAATGTTCAAATGGGTAAGGGCTGAATTTGTTTTGCTTGAGCTATTGCTTTATCTAAACGTTAACATGTAGGAAGGTATTGTCTAATGAAACAAATTTCAGGTCACATGCATCTCCTCATCTCTATAGGGGCTGGTTGGGGCTGGTCTGGCAGATATGAGTCGACCAGCCGAGAAACTGAGCATGTCCCAGTCTGCTGTACTGACAGCCACAGGTATAGTGGAGTTCCTATATTATTCTGTGAGTGACAGGTATAGTGTAAATGTAATCCTTCAGTCAAATAAACAACTTCACTCATTGACTAATCACTTTTCCCACTTTCTCAGGTCTGACCTGGTCCAGATACTCTTTGGTCATCATTCCAAAGAACTGGAACCTCTTTGCTGTCAATTTATTTGTGGGTAGTGCTGGAATATCCCAGCTCTACAGGATCTTCCAGTAAGTGAACCTCTCTTAGAGCACAGAAATAGAATAAAGACCTGACCTATAGATTTGACTCGCCATTAAACGGCCACAGTATGTTTTTTCTGTCCTTTTTGTAAGTTCTTTAGGAATCAACCTGGAGGCTCATAAGAAACTCTGTTTTACTTTGTTTTCTTTTTTTAATATTTAGCTTTTATTCCTTGAAGTTTAAGGGCAAATGTATTTGAATAAATGTACATAAACCTCAAGTTTATTTTCCCCCTCTCTTCCCTTATCCCCTTTCACACTACAGGTATGAACAAGGGAAGAAGGCACTAGCAAAGGAGGAGGCTGCCCCTGCAGAGTCTTGAGTGTTGTCACCAATCCATCTCCATGGACCGTAAGGGAGTTAATCACCGGCACAAACCCAGTCCCTCTCAGCCCCTCCATCCTCACTCAATATTATAGTAGAAAAAAACAATGTTTCCTTGCTGTAGATCATGTAATTTGTCTGGATTTCTTCAGGTTTATAATGGAATATTAACCCTTACAAAACACTCAAATGTTTGTCATCTATGCACAAGATGTTGTATTTTTAAGTTTTACTTCATGCAACAACTTGTATGATTGTATGGTCTTAAATTGATTTAATTTGTTAATGATTCATATTTATCATGCACTTTTTGGGAAGTGTTGCTTTTTTCCATAATTTCTTTGAGTAGTCATCATCATTCCTCATGGAGTGGTTTCCTAACAATGAAGGTCTTGGATCTGTGTTGAATGTGGTTTAAAAGAATGTCTCCCAAAATATTTTTGAATTAGATGTCACTTTCATACCATATGCTAATTCATCAACTATTTCCATCAATCATTTTGGTAACAATTTCTATATCCGTACATCAAGGATGATTAAACCTTCCACGTGTTGTAAATGCTTTAACCAATAAATCAGGTTGAAAAAAACATTTCATATAGCTTTTAACAGTAGATTTTCAATTGCCAATAGTAATATGAAATCACCACCTTTCTGTCCCCGATCATTTGGAGGAACTTCTTGGTAATGTGTCCTATGTGTTGCAGTCTTGGGGGATGAATCTAGCGTGGACAACTTGTATTGGCCCTGTAGTCAAGGTCCTCGTCTCCTATTAGTTGGTTCTCAGTAGTTGGGAGACGCATAATCTGTTAATGTAACTAGATGAGAATTTAAGAAGTCCTTTTGTTCATTGATCTCTGAGATTTTATAGCAATAACTGGCAAATTTCATTGGTCCATAATGCACTGGAACATGAACAGGCACTTACGTATGGAGAGGTTCTATCTTAAAAAGGTCTGTATGTAATGGATATGCCCATATTTGTTCTGTTGAATTAAAAATCTTGGCATATTCTGAAGCAGTTTCATTCCTGGGCAGAAAGTGTATGATAGTTAAAAATAGGTTGTTTGAGTTGAAGATATGTTTTGACCTGACTTGTGAATTGAGGTTTGGATATGTGACTTGGCATAAGTGTCCCACAAGGGTGGAACAAACTGAAACAGTCATGCCTCTACATGAATTACTGTTTTTACTTGGTCTTCCAACTAGACTATTATACTGTGAAAAACTCTTTTACATGCTAAAGATTAGATCAAAAAGAAAAATACAGAAAGTTGACCATTGATTGGTCCACCTTTGTATACACAACACCTAATCAGCATGTCACTAAGGCTGCGTTTACACAGACAGCCCAATTCTGATATTTTTTCCAATAATTGGTCTTCTGACCGATCACATCAGATCTTTTCACATCAGATCTTTTTCAGTGCTGATCTGATTAGTAAAAAGATCAGAATTTGGCTGCTTGTGTAAACGCAGCCTGTGCTTTACGGTAACCTAGACACCTAAAGTGCCAGTAGAAGCAGAGTGTCAAGGAAAAACTCCCCAGAAGGAAGAAACCTTGTGTAACCAGACTCAGGAGAGACCCATACTCCCCTGGCTGTACTAGGTGGAAGTTGAGTCTTAACACCAACTAAGTCAGACTGTTGACACTTTAGACCCACTCCGATTTGCATACCGCCCCAACAGATCCATAGACGACGCAATCTCAATTGCTCTCCACACTGCCCTCACCCACCTAGATAAGAGGAATACCAATGTGAAAATGCTCGTTGACTACAGCTCGGCGTTCAACACCATTGTCCCCTCCAAGCTCATCACCACGCTTAAGACCCTGGGACTGAACACTTCCCTCTGCAACTGGATCCTGGACTTCCTGATGGGCCGACCCAAGCTGGTGAGGGTTGGCAGCATCACCTCCGCCACGCTGACCCTCAACACGGGGGCTACATGAAAATGGGGGGGGGGGGGGGGGGCATGCAGTGGCGAGCATGCCCCCATCCACATCGACGGGGCTGCAGTGGAGAGAGTTGAGAGCTTCAAGTTCCTCAGTGTCCAAATCACCAAGAACTTAAAATGGTCCACACGCCTATTTCCCCTCAGGAGATTGAAAAGGTTTGGCATGGGCCATCAAAAAGTTAATACAGCTGTACCATTGAGAGCACCTTGACTGGCTGCATCACTGCTTGGTATGGCAATAGCACCGCCCTCGATCACATGGCGCTACAGAGGATGGTGTTGACAGCACAGTACACCACTGGGGCCCAGCTCGCTGCCATCCAGGACCACTATATCAGGTGGTGTGAAAGAAAGGCCCGGAAAATCGTTAAAGATTCCAACTACCCAAGCCATAGACTGTTCTCTCTGCTTCCGCACGGAAAGCGCTACCGGTGCATCAAGTCTGACACCAACAGGCTCCTGAACAGCTTCTATCCCCATGCCATTAGACTGCTAAATACCTACAGTGGCTTGCGAAAGTATTCACCCCCCATGGCATTTTTCCTATTTTGTTGCCTTACAACCTGGAATTAAAATGGATTTTTTTGGGGTTTGTATAATTTGATTTACACAACATGCCTACCACTTCGAAGATGCAAAATAATTTATTGGTGAAACAAACAAGAAATAAGACAGAAAAACAGAACTTGAGCGTGCATAACTATTCCCCCCCCCCCCCCCCCCCAAAGTCAATACTTTGTAGAGCCACCTTTTGCAGCAATTACAGCTGCAAGTCTCTTGGGGTATGTCTCTATAAGCTTGCCACATCTAGCCACTGGGATTTTTGCCCAATCTTCAAGGCAAAACTGCTCCAGCTCCTTCAAGTTGGATGGGTTCCGCTGGTGTACAGCAATCTTTAAGTCATACCACAGATTCTCAATTGGATAAACATTTAAACGTTTCCCCTTAAACCACTCAAGTGTTGCTTTAGCAGTATGCTTAGGGTCATTGTCCTGCTGGAAGGTGAACCGCTGTCCCAGTCTCAAATCTCTGGAAGACTGAAACAGGTTTCCCTCAAGAATTTCCCTGTATTTAGCACCATCCATCATTCCTTCAATTCTGACCAGTTTCCCAGTCCCTGCCAATGAAAAACATCCCCACAGCAGGATGCTGCCACCACCATGCTTCACTGTTGGGATGGTGTTCTCGGGGTGATGAGAGGTGTTGGGTTTGCGCCAGACATAGCGTTTTCCTTGATGGCCAAAAAGCTCAATTTTAGTCTCATCTGACCAGAGTACCTTCTTCCATATGTTTGGGGAGTCTCCCACATGCCTTTTGGCGAACACCAAACGTGTTTGCTTATTTTTTTCTTTAAGCAATGGCTTTTTTCTGGCCACTCTTCCGTAAAGCCCAGCTCTGTGGAGTGTATGGCTTAAAGTTGTCCTATGGACAGATAATCCAATCTCCGCTGTGGAGCTTTGCAGCTCCTTCAGGGTTATCTTTGGTCTCTTTAATGCCCTCCTTGCCTGGTCTGTGAGTTTGGTGGGCGGCCCTCTCTTGGCAGGTTTGTTGTGGTGCCGTATTCTATCCATTTTTAAATAATGGATTTAATGGTGCTCCGTGGGATGTTCAAAGTTTCCCAACCCTGATCTGTACTTCTCCACAACTTTGTCCCTGACCTGTTTTGAGAGCTCCTTGGTCTTCATGGTGCAACTTGCTTGGTGGTGCCCCTTGCTTAGTGGTGTTGCAGACTCTGGGGCCTTTCAGAACAGGTGTATATATACTGAGATCATGTGACAGATCATGTGACACTTAGATTGCACACAGGTGGACTTTATTTAACTAATTATATAACTTCTGAAGGTAATTGGTTGCACCAGATCTTATTTAGGGGCTTCATAGCAAAGGGGGTGAATACATATGCACGCGCCACTTTTCCGTTATTTTTTTTTTTTCATTTCACTTCACCAATTTTGACTATTTTGTGTATGTCCATTACATGAAATCCAAATAAAAATAGATTTAAATTACAGGTTGTAATGCAACAAAATAGGAAAAACACCAAGGGGGATGAATACTTTTGCAAGGCACTGTAACTAAAAAGCTAACAAATGTCTATACGGACTATCTAAATTGACCTTTGTATTGTAATCTTTATTTTTGCAGTCTCTACGGACACTAATACTCCAACACACACACACTCACTCCATCATTTGCTCACACACACATAATATGCACATACATTTGTACTGACTCTACACACACATACCCACTCACATACAATCATCATATACGCTGCTGCCTAGTCACCTTCCCCTATACATACAGTGCCTTCAGATAGTATTCACACCCCTTGACTTTTTCCACGTTTTGTTGTGTTACAGCCTAAATTTAAAATGGATTAAATGTAGATTGTTTGTCACTGGCCTACACACAATACCCCATAATGTCAAAGTGGAACTATGTTTTTTTTTTCAAAATGTTTACAAATTTATGAAAATTAAAAGCTGTATTGAATCCCTTTGATGGCAAGCCTAAAGTTCAGGAGTAAAAATGTGCGTAAGTATAGAACAATAATGTTTAACATGATTTTTGAATGATTACCTCACCTCTGTACCCCACACATACAATTATCTGTAGGGTCTTCTCAGTTGAGCACAGATTCAACAGATTTAACCACAAAGGCCAGGAAGGTTTTCCAATGCCTCGCGAAGAAAGGCACAAATTGGTAGATGGGTAAAAAAACAAAAAAAAACAGACATTGAATATCCCTTTGAGCGTGGTGAAGTTATTACTTTCACTTTGGATGGTGTATCAATACACCCAGTCACTAGAAACATACAGGCATCCTTCCTAACTCAGTTGCCGGAGAAGGAAAACGCTCAGGGATTTCACCATGAGGCCAACAGTTACTTTAAAACAGTTACAGAGTTGATTGGCTGTGATAGGAGAAAACTGAGGATGGCTCAACATTGTAGTTACGCCACAATACTAACCTAACTGACAGAGTGAAAAGGAAGGAAAAATATTCCAAAACATGGATCCTGTTTGCAACATGTTATGGGTATGCTTATAATTGTTAAGGACTAGGGAGTTTCAAGATAAAACAAAAAGAAACTGAATGGAGCTAAGCACAGGCAAAATCCTAGAGGAAAACCTGGTTGTCTTCTTTCCACCAGACACTGGGAGAGGAATTCACCTTTCAGAATGACAATAACCTAAAATAAGGCCAAATCTACACTTGAGATGCTTACCAAGAAGACAGTGAATGTTCACGAGTGGCCGAGTTACAGTTTTGACTTAAATCTACTTGGAAATCTATGGCAAGACCAATTTTACAGCGCTTGAAGATAAAAAAAAAAAAAAGAATGGGCAAATGTTGCACAATCCAGTTGTAGAAAGCATAGAGACTTTTATAAAAACATGTTTTCACTTTGTCATTATGGGGTAGCGTGTAGATGGGTGAGAAAAAAAATGTAATACATTTTGAATTCAGGCTGTAACAAAATGTGGAATAAGTCAAGGGGTTTAAATACTTTCTAAAGGCACTATCTACCTCTTATCGATCCAGTATCCCTACACATTATAAATTAAATATAGACGTAATCGCTCCTCTTTCACCCCAGCTGCCAAACTAACCCTGACTCAGATGACCATCCTACCCATACTAGATTATGAAGACGTAATTCATAGATCGGCAAGGGTGCTTTCGAGCGGCTAGATGCTCTTTACCATTCGGCCATCAGATTTGCCACCAATGCTCCTTATAGGACACATCACTGCACTCTATAAACTGCTCATCTCTGTGCAACCCGTCGCAAAACCCACTGGTTGATGCTTATTTATAAAACCCTCTTAGGCCTCACTCCCCCCTATCTGAGATACCTACTGCAGCACTCATCCTCCAAGGTCCCCAAAGCACACACATCCCTGGGTCGCTCCTTTTTTAATGCCATTTAGCAGACGCTTTTATCCAAAGCGATTTACAGTCATATGCGCATACATTTTAACGTATGGGTGGTCCCGGGTATCGAACCCACTACCCTGGCGTTACAAGCGCCATGCTCTACCAATTGAGCTACAGAGGACCACCACTTTTCAGTTCTCTGCAGCTAGCGACTGGAACGAGCTGCATAAAAACACTCAAACTGGACAGTTTTATCTCCATCCAGACTCAATCATGGACACTCTTACCGACAGTTGTGGCTGCTTCGCGTGATATATTGTTTCTACCTTCTTGCGGTTGTCTGTGCCCAATAATGTTTGTGCCATGTGTTGCTGCTATGCTATGTTGTCTTAGGTCTCTCTTTATGTAGTGTTGTGGTGTCGCAATGTGTGTGTTTTGTCCTATATTTTTAAATCCCAGCCCCCATCCCCGCAGGACACTTTGGTAGGCAGTCATTGTAAATAAGTTCTTAACTGACTTGCCTAGTTAAATAAATATAGTTTGCTTACTTTGTGTCCTTGTTTATCTCGTGTTTTTGTTCTACCTTATTTTTAGTATTACATTGTTATTGATGACTGCATTGTTGGTTTTAGAGCTAGCAAGAAAGGCTTTTCACTGTATTTGTGTGACATTAAAACATGAAACACTAGTAAGGAAGGACAAGTCAGGAAGGACAGTTTAGGGTGTATGACCAAATCAGGTCAGACAACTGTCAATTACATAAATATAGAAAACAAAAGCACTGAAACATGATCACACACCAAACATTTTTGTTTACCAAGAAAGTTTATTCATGACCAACGAAGCCAAAAGGGTTAGCGTTTTCCTCCAACGCGAGGTGCATTGACCTTCATTTGCTTTGCCACCTTGGGTTTGGGTGCAGCCTTGGCAGGGGCCTACAGAGGGAGACAAAGTACAGATAGATTAGACAAAATACAAACTAAACCACCATTGGAATCCAATTAAATCAATCACATTTTATTTATAAAGCCCTTTTTACATCAGCAGATGTCACAAAGTGCTATACAGAAACCCTGCCTAAAACTTCAAACAGCAGGCAATGCAGATGAAGCACAGTGGCTAAGAAAAACACCCTTGAAAGGCAGAAACCTAGAGAGGAACCAGGCTCTGAGGGGTGGCCAGTCCCCTTCTGGCTGTGCCAGGTGGAGATTATAACAGTAAATGGCCATTAAGGCCAGATTTTTCTCCAAGATGTTCAAACGTTCATAGATGACCAGCAGGGTCAAATAATAATCACAGTGGTTGTAGAGGTTGCAACAGGTCAGTACATCAGGAGTAAATGTCACTTGGCTTTTCATAGCCGGGCATTTAGAGGTAGAAATAGCAGGTGTGGTAGAGAGAGAGTTGAAAACAGCAGGTCTGGGACAAGGTAGCAAGTCCGGTGAACAGGTCATGGTTCCTTAGCCGCAGGCAGAAGAGTGGAAACTGGAGCAGCAGCATGACCAGGTGGACTGGGGACAGCAAGGAGTCATCAGGCCAGGTAGTCCTGAGGCATGGTCCTAGGGCTCAGGTCCTCCGGGATGGGAGGGAGAGGACCTGAGTGCTAGGGTTATGCAGTTCATCACAGCTCTTGATAAACTACTTGGTACCGTTAGAATTCCAAGCATAAATTAAAACCATGGGTGCCATTTATGGCAGAGCCTCAGTAATACGAGGTGGCCAAGAGCAGCAATGTGAACCAAAGATATTGCAAAGAGCGATGCAAGAGGATGCAATTGAGAGTGCCTAAAGAGCCATTTCCCCTTCCCTCTTCTGCAACGTGACAACTGAAAAGAATGTGCAGCATCTTGCTACACGCTCTGTTGCAGAAGTCGACCCAATACTGCCAATTTTTACTTCGTAAGCCTGAGTGTACCTTTAAAGGGGCAATGAGCAGTTGAAACAACGCTTACTCCCCTGCCCATTTCAGTAAAAAGCTGAGGGATGGGGCTGAAGAAATGCAACTCAATACACAGAGCTATGGATGCAAGGACTGACCATCCATGACATTACAATTATAGTTAACCATGTTGAGGCTATATATTGTTTTACATATACTTTGTTTACAAACATTGGAGTATAATGTATTATTTTGTGTTCTTATTAGGAACGACAGTTAAACTAAGCTCATGAGACATAAGTGATATTCTTTAAGAAACAATGAGAACATTTCAATTATAAATCCAGAAATGTATGTAGCAACTGCTGATTGTCCCTTTAATGTAGAAATCTGCATTTTTCACAGATAAATGGAAAAAGGGGAACCTTGCTGCGTTTTATAAACGCAGGTCATAAAGGTTTCTTGCTTTCTGACCGGCTTCTGACCAATCAGATTCACACAGTCATAAATTATATATATGGACATGGCTATATTAATCTTACCTTAGCACCAGCGGCAGAGGGCTTCTTGGTTGTCTGCTTTGCCTTCTTGGCCTCCTTGGCAGCTCTGGAGACAAGAACTATATAAATTAGGCCCATTCCACACATGCAAAACAACAAGACACAGGAGTCCAGACTGCAGAAATAACACCTCAAGTGATGAGTGAAAAAGACTAATGATCCATTTTATTCGTGAATAAAACCCAAGACTGACAATTCACCTTTCCATCTTAAACAGCATCACAGGGTGAACAGCTACATGTGCTTCACATGTAGAACTTTGACAGAAACGTATTTGTTTAACACTACACAATAACAATGCCCCACAGCAGTACACAGTTCACTTATTTGGCACCAACATGCCAGCCACTGCCATTTTACATCTAAAGCAAAGTTTCTGGTCAAGCATGGTTCTGGTGGGGTTGAGTCGGGCCCTTACCTGATAGCCTGCTCACGCTGGGCCTTGCGGACCTCGGGCTTCTGGTTCCTCTTGGCCATGATCTCAGCCAGGGAGGCGCCGGTGATGGCCCTCTGGAACTTCACGGCACGGCGTGTGCGCTTCTTCGTCACCTCTTCCTGTTAGCACAGGAAATGGACAACATGCAGTCAGCAACATCATGGCCACATTCAGGATCAGGTATGGGCAATTTGGTAGTGTTGATGAGTGTTAAGATATCAATAGGCACAACATAGGAGAAAACACAGAAATGTAAGTGTCACTCGTGTAGATTAACCAGTCCTATAAGAATGTTCCTTGACAGTACCGTTTTGTGCAAAATGAACAGTAACAATCACACAGATGTATTCACATTACTGCAAACCCCTAACATCTTTCTCACATATAAGGTTTGTAGGAGAGTATGGAGGCTGACCAGTGGTAAGGAGTCAGAGACTTCACAGAGCCAGTACTATGATCTCCAGTGGCTCTATGGCCGCAGGTGTGTGGAGTGAGCACTGCCGAAAAGCTGTAAAACACAGCCTGGCGACAGTACATAACGCAGATTGCAACCACGCACACCGTCACACCCTCAGCCAAAAACAAAGGCACACCATGTCAGAACTAAGGTTGTATAATTGTGATTCAAAAGGTAACCACACTAGCCACTGCTTCTATGCGCTTGGGGGGGAAATGATTGACAATAACGAGCCAGGTACTTACAGACTGGCCCTTCTTGTGTTTGCGCCTGTAGAGCACAGTCCAGTTGATCTGTCTGGGGTTCCTCTTGGCCAGGAAGGCTGATTCACACTTTGCATTCAGGAACTGGAAAACCTGGTGGTGTTAAACTACACATTAGTGAGGTGAAGCATATTTTGCAACGTTGACATGTACATGTCTAGCTAGTTGTAACGTTATACCTGACGTGGATAACGCCGGATTTGCACGCTAACGTTAGCTAGCTAGCTGAAAACATAGCATAGTCAGTGTCCACGGGACAGGCCAAGAACAGAGTACAAACACTCCATGAACAGTTCTACTGTAACAATTTCAACACAATGTCGGCCACGGCTAATTGCGATCAACCGTGAGAAACCAAACACTACTAAATGGCATTAGAGGAAGTTAGAGTTGCCATATCCCCGTACCTTTCCGTCTATCCTGGCGTATCGGACGCCATGGCCGGGGTATATTTTGTACCCGCTGAAACTGCACAGCTCGACCCTGTAGCGGATTAAGATAAATCATGAATAGAAGATCAACGTGTATTTGTTTTTAATAGTACATTTTTATTGGTAAAAGTGTTAATTTAAACATTTGATGGCAATAGATATTATTCCGTAAACTCACTTCATGATTGCTGAGGGGGACACAAAACCGGAAAGAAAGATAGCGGAAACGGAAACGACGTTATAGGTAAGATTTCTTTATTTTATTTATTTTTTTATCCACGGATTTTTATCTACACAGCATGTCTTTTTTTCATTACATCCAGTCAGGATCAGTATTTTGATTTTCAAATATGAATTTTGTTCATAAAAAAGTATTTGACCAATCAGCAACTAGATCGGTTGCTTGGCGTTGACACAAGCGGGAAGTATGGCGATGATAGCAAGTCAAGCCAAAGGACCCGATCAACAAATTGAACAAAATAAAGGTATTTTAAAATTGTATAGATATGTTTGATCACGTTGAAAATACTATCATGCTTTCTGTTGTTTCATATTGGGATTGCTATCAAGTGTACATCTTGAGATCTCTTTCCCACCGGATCATCAACAGTGTCGCTCTGCACTGCAGTAAAGCTTATTGTAGTTTTTTTTTAAGCCAAGCATAGTGGTCCTTTAATGACAAACGGACATTTTTGAACTACATATCCCGGTCAATTCTTAGCCTTCTTTCTGTTGTACTCGCCGGAGGTCTCTGACAAGACAGTTGTGCTTTGGCAAGCAGGCTAGCGTAGCGAGATTGGTGCAGCCTCGTATATTTTGCGCGAAATGGGAGTATCAGATTTGACATTTGACACAACTGGTGAGTGCATGACAGCTCCCTTCGTGTGATGTTCGACTTTGTAGGGCAACGATTTTGTGAACATACGTATGTTTCAATGATTGGTTCTGTCCTACGTTTGCTAGTTGGAACTACTGACTGTAACTAGCTACCCATCCTGTTATCATCTGATAGTCCAGAGTCAAGCGTAGAGGACTGGATTGTTTTCAGTAGAGCTATGCTGTATTGCAAATGTGAAATTGTTTTCACTGTCTGACCAAGAATCCAAATTCCATGCTGGATTTTCACACCCAGCATGTCTTTATGTACAATCCCACTGCTATATCAGCTATTCAATCAACCGAGTGAAGGTGAATGAATCATCATCCTTCAGACTAATAGTCAGCCCAGTATGAATAAACTGTATGATAGTGATCAACAGCAGTTCTCCAAGATGGCTTCCATGTTTCAGTTGGATCCTTCTCTGTATCTTGCTTGAGGCTGTGTCTACAGTATGTACATAGTAGATTTATAAGCCTCCCTAGTTGCCGTTGTCCTCCTCTGAATGGCTCATATTGGTTCTATGTATTGTTCGTGTTCATGGTGATACTACCAACATGTGCATAATAGATTTTACATCCATCCATGTTTTTATGTTTCTCTCTGTTTCCCCTTTAGGTCCAGTGGTGGACCTGTCAGCCCAGGGTCTGCAGAAGCTGGAGCCCAGTTTCACCTGCTCTGATGAAACACACACACTCATCCTGGACCGGAACCACATCATGAAACTGGACCATCTGGAGAGGAGCCCAGGCCTCCAACAGGTAGACTCCCTCTTACTGGGTCTCAGTGGTGTGACTACATTTGCCTTTCCATCCAAGCACATTTGATGGAATCAGGTCAACTTAATTGTTGAACATTGTGGAATTCCTCAGATCATTTGTAAATGGGCGTTTACTAGTTGTTGCAAACTTGCAATGCACCACATTGGGTTGGATTAGTTCCCTCTATATTGTCTTGCTGTCTCATTCTGCCTCTCTCTTTCCTGTGTTCTGTGCTGGGCAGCTATCAGTTGCTGGTAACCGCCTGGTGCGGATGATGGGTGTGTGTCGTCTAACCGAGCTGAGAGTTCTGAACCTGCCCAATAACAGTATTGGCTATATTGAAGGTCTGAGAGACCTGCCACACCTGGAGTGGCTCAACCTGTCAGGCAACAACATCAAGGTGAGGGGAAGAAAGTGGACAATGTACTCCCTCTATAATGTGTACATTTTGGCTCCTGATCATGAAATTTTGATATCCACTTTTCATTCAGGTCATTGAGCAGCTCAACAACTGTGTGGCTCTCCAACACTTGGACCTGTCTGAAAACAACATCTCCAACATTGGTGATCTTACCAAGCTGTTATCCTTAAAGGTGAGAACAGGTCTTGCCTCGTGACTTTTCAGAGTTATGGGGATGCAGATAGAATTCAGGAGCATTAAGCAGGACAGTTTCTCCATGGTGTTGATTGACAGGCTGCTATTTATCTTGCAGACCCTTCTCCTTCATGGTAACAGCATTACGACGCTGCGGACTGTCCCCACTCATTTGCCCCCCCATCTGTCTATCCTCTCCCTGGCAGAGAATGAGATCAGAGACCTCAACGAGGTAAAGACCCCGCCTTTTTGTCCCTTTGCACTCTCTAATTTCTCTCTTTACTCTCATTTTGTCTTTGTACTCTCACTTGCTCTGCTTTTAACAACAATCTCTTTCCTACTTCTCTCTCAACTGCTCTGCTTTTAACAACAATCTCTTTCCTACTTCTCTCTCAACTGCTCTGCTTTTAACAACAATCTCTCTCCTACTTCTCTCTCACCTGCTCTGCTTTTAACAACAATCTCTCTCCTACTTCTCTCTCATCTGCTCTGCTTTTAACAACTCTCTTTCCTACGTCTCTCTCACCTGCTCTGCTTTTAACAACAATTTCTCTCCTACTTCTCTGTCACCTGCTTGTCTCTATTTCTTTCTCTCTCTCCCTGCCTCCCACAGGTCTCCTACCTGGCACCCCTCCATGACCTGGAACAGCTCTCCATTATGAGTAACCCCTGCATCATGGCAACCCCCTCGTTGCCCGGATACGACTACCGGCCGTACATCATGAGCTGGTGCCTGAACCTGAAGATCCTGGACGGATACTTGGTGTCACAGAAAGAAGGGTGAGACCAGGTCCACAACTCCAGTGAAGTAAAAAATGCTAACTATGCAGGGGAAGGAGGGTAGCATTGATTGACATTAAGGTTTGCCATATTGCCCGGTGAAAGTGATCTGAGCAGTCGCGCATGTTGAGCCAGCTCTGAGGTTGCCCCATTGGGCAGGTGATTTTATTTGACTGGTAACAAACAAAATGCAAAGAATTCCAGTAGTCTGGCCTTTCTGTTTCCTCCCTTGTGTGTAGGTGAAAATAGCTTGTTACATTTTCGGGCAAGTGATCATAATCTTCAGGCAACCAAAATCTACTCCTGACTTGCCCAAATGGCGAGTGCCTTTCAGACCATAATGTAAATCCCTGGGTAGAGAAATGGACTGGTGACTGTAAGGTTGCCGTGTCGTACTATGCAGTTATACCATCGAAGTGATCATATACCATCGATGTGGTCCTCTGTAGCTCAGCTGGTAGAGCACGGCGCTTGTAACGCCAAGGTAGTGGGTTCGATCCCCGGGACCACCCATACACAAAAATGTATGCACGCATGACTGTAAGTCGCTTTGGATAAAAGCGTCTGCTAAATGGCATATTATTATTATTATTACTCAATACTATCATTGCTGGTCAATAATGTCTATATTGTCTGCGATCTCAGGTTGAAGGCGGAGTGGCTGTACAGCCAGGGCAAAGGTCGCTCGTACCGGCCAGGTCAGCACGTGCAGCTGGTCCAGTACCTCGCCACCGTGTGCCCTTTGACCTCCACGCCAGCCCTGGAGACGGCCGAGGATGCCAAGCTGGAGAAGATCCTCAGCAAGCAGAGGTAGGAGAATACATTCACAACTGTCAGAGGTAGGAGAATACATTCACAACTGTCAGAGGGAGGATAATACATTCACAACTGGCAGAGGGAGGAGAATACATTCACAACTGGCAGAGGGAGGAGAATACATTCACAACTGGCAGAGGGAGGAGAATACATTCACAACTGTCAGAGGGAGGAGAATACATTCACAACTGTCAGAGGGAGGAGAATACATTCACAACTGTCAGAGGGAGGAGAATACATTCACAACTGGGCTGTGATGCCAACAGCTGTTTGATGAGGTCAGCTATCACACTGGCAGTGGATGTGTTCTCCTCCCTGTGATCGCTCTAGCTATAAATCCAACCCCCATTGTTACAATCCAGCTGACACTAAAATGGATCAAGCAGTCTTTTCTGCTTAGTTTTGGTAATTTAACCGCAATGTATATTTTAAGCAGATGAGAAATATTAAGCAGATTGGACACAGCTTGCACAATCATTGAAATTACTGTTTTTATTGGGATCCTCTCTCCTTTGAATCCCATTACTTAACCAGGGGTCCTGTATATATCTCCAGGCTCCACCAGAGGCAGCTCCAGCAGCAGACCCAAGGGGGTTCCCCCAGCCCTCCCCGCCCCAGCCCTCCCCGCCCCACCCAGCTGGATGTGGAGACTCACAGCCCCTGCCATGTGCTCCCACTAGGGGAAGCCAGAGAGGCAGACAGAGCCACGACACCTGTGACTGGCCCACCAGCCAGACAGACAGGTAGCAGATAATGAACTCTACCTGTTTTGTGTTTTTTTTGTTTCTGTAACGCCCATAAATCCCAGTGTGTGTCTGGTGTGTAAATCTCCTCTTTTCCTCTCTTCTGTGTGTGTGCATTTGTCCAGAGCCCGTGACCCTGCAGGTAAACACCTGGCTGGGCTGCGACCCCTCCCAGGCGGGCGCACCTCCTCTCCGTGGCCCCAGGGGTACGGAGGAGCGCCTTTACCTGGAGGACGTCCAGAGCCAGACGGACGAAGATAAAATCACCGGCAGCCTGCTCTCCTCTGAGTCCACCTTTCTACCTGTCACCTCTGACCCCGCCCGCTCCGACAGTGAGGACGAAACTGAGACGTTTGAGCCTGACTCGCTGGCACCTGAACACCCCATCCGTCCCAAAAAGACCCCTCCTGAAAAGACCCAACACGCACCCTTGGAAAGAGAGAGGGAGAGGGAGAGAGAGTGGGAGGAGGATAGAGAGAAGGAGGAGGAGGCAAAGGGAGAAAGGGTATCGGCTGACAGCCACCTCACCTGTACCTTAACCTCAACCGCCAGTCCACCTGTGACGGCAGGTGACCAATCACAGACCAATGACAGCGCTCCGCTCCAGGGAGCGTACTCAAACTGCAGCGCTGCAGAGGTGAGGGTGGGATCTAAGCAGGAAGAGGAAGCGGTGGTGAGATGTGATAGGCTGGGCCGCTGTGAGTCGGACAGGGCAGCCGTCAGGATCCAGGCATGGTGGAGGGGAATGTGGGCTCGGCGTAGCCACCCTCTGGCCAAAGAGGTGCGGTGTGAGATCCGCCTGCGCAGGATGCAGGAGCACATAGTCTTCCTGTCTGGAGAGTTGGAGAGGTACGGAAGAGACCCCAATCAATCCAAGGGCTGCTTTTCGATTCTCTGCCCTTCTCCAGAAGTGTGCACTTGTTCTCTCCCCCTCATGCATTTTAAAGCATTTGATTGGTGCATACATGGCTGGAGGGAGTTTTCACAATATTCCTCACACCAGTCCTTTCCTTTTAAATACATGAGGGGGCGTGTATAATAATATAATAATATGCCATTTAGCAGACGCTTTTATCCAAAGCGACTTACAGTCATGCGTGCATACATTTTTGTGTATGGGTGGTCCCGGGGATCGAACCCACTACCTTGGCGTTACAAGCGCCGTGCTCTACCAGCTGAGCTACAGAGGACCAGTGTACGAGTGCACACTTCTCGAGAAGGGTAGAGAATTGGAATGTAGACACGGACTACCGCATCAGTGTTCTCCAGTCCTGGGGTTCTCCAGTCCTGTGGTGCTCCAGTCTTGGGGTTCTCCAGTCCTGGGGTTCTCCAGTCTTGGGGTTCTCCAGTCCTGGGGTTCTCCAGTCTTGGGGTTCTCCAGTCCTGGGGTTCTCCAGTCTTGGGGTTCTCCAGTCCTGGGGTTCTCCAGTCCTGGGGTTCTCCAGTCTTGGGGTTCTCCAGTCCTGGGGTTCTCCAGTCCTGGGGTTCTCCAGTCTTGGGGTTCTCCAGTCCTGGGGTTCTCCAGTCTTGGGGTTCTCCAGTCCTGGGGTTCTCCAGTCCTGGGGTTCTCCAGTCCTGGGGTTCTCCAGTCTTGGGGTTCTCCAGTCCTGGGGTTCTCCAGTCCTGGGGTTCTCCAGTCTTGGGGTTCTCCAGTCTTGGGGTTCTCCAGTCTTGGGGTTCTCCAGTCTTGGGGTTCTCCAGTCTTGCTTGAGGCGGGAAGTAGGGGTGCTGCAGCACCCCCTGAAAAGTCGGAATAATAAGACATATTTATTTTGTATTTTTATTTTTGTATTTTTACAAAAGTATTGCACTGGGCCTCGTCCTGTATAAGCGGACCGGTATAGACATCTGTAGCGGCTATTTTCTGCGCCCCCCAAACATCTTCCCGCGGCTATGGCTTGTGGTATAAACAATGTCATATGCTCATGGTTGTTCATTACTATATCTGGATGTTGTTGACTAGAAGGCATGGTCACTAGGTGATTTGTTTATAGACTTGGTGGTAGGCTAGAGAAGTACGTTTCTTGAAGTGGAAGCTGCTGAGGGGAGGACGGACCATAATAATGGCTGGAATGGAGCAAATGGAATGGCATCAAACATATGGAAACATATGTAAACCATGATACCCTTCCACCTATTCCGCTCCAGCCATTACCATGAGCTATCCTCCCCAACCTCCTGTGATTTCTAGAGAAACTGGCAAACATATCTCCATACAAAACCATTGTCAGGAGAAAGAGCAGACATTTAGCCTTTTGTAAGCAGTGCACAAAGAGCCTTGTCTTTAGCCATGCTTCAGAAAATATACTGAACAAAAATACACTGCTCAAAAAAATAAAGGGAACACTAAAATAACACATCCTAGATCTGAATGAATGAAATAATCTTATTAAATACTTTTTTCTTTACATAGTTGAATGTGCTGACAACAAAATCACACAAAAATGATCAATGGAAATCAAATTTATCAACCCATGGAGGTCTGGATTTGGAGTCACCCTCAAAATTAAAGTGGAAAACCACACTACAGGCTGATCCAACTTTGATGTAATGTCCTTAAAACAAGTCAAAATGAGGCTCAGTAGTGTGTGTGGCCTCCACGTGCCTGTATGACCTCCCTACAACGTCTGGGCATGCTCCTGATGAGGTGGCGGATGGTCTCCTGAGGGATCTCCTCCCAGACCTGGACTAAAGCATCCGCCAACTCCTGGACAGTCTGTGGTGCAACGTGGCGTTGGTGGATGGAGCGAGACATGATGTCCCAGATGTGCTCAATTGGATTCAGGTCTGGGGAACGGGCGGGCCAGTCCATAGCATCAATGCCTTCCTCTTGCAGGAACTGCTGACACACTCCAGCCACATGAGGTCTAGCATTGTCTTGCATTAGGAGGAACCCAGGGCCAACCGCACCAGCATATGGTCTCACAAGGGGTCTGAGGATCTCATCTCGGTACCTAATGGCAGTTAGGCTACCTCTGGCGAGCACATGGAGGGCTGTGCGGCCCCCCAAAGAAATGCCACCCCACACCATGACTGACCCATCGCCAAACCGGTCATGCTGGAGGATGTTGCAGGCAGCAGAACGTTCTCCACATCGTCTCCAGACTCTGTCACGTCTGTCACATGTGCTCAGTGTGAACCTGCTTTCATCTGTGAAGAGCACAGGGCGCCAGTGGCGAATTTGCCAATCTTGGTGTTCTCTGGCAAATGCCAAACGTCCTGCACGGTGTTGGGCTGTAAGCACAACCCCCACCTGTGGACGTCGGGCCCTCATACCACCCTCATGGAGTCTGTTTCTGACCGTTTGAGCAGACACATGCACATTTGTGGCCTGCTGGAGGTCATTTTGCAGGGCTCTGGCAGTGCTCCTCCTGCTCCTCCTTGCACAAAGGCGGAGGTAGCGGTCCTGCTGCTGGGTTGTTGCCCTCCTACGGCCTCCTCCACGTCTCCTGATGTACTGGCCTGTCTCCTGGTAGCGCCTCCATGCTCTGGACACTACGCTGACAGACACAGCAAACCTTCTTGCCACAGCTCGCATTGATGTGCCATCCTGGATGAGCTGCACTACCTGAGCCACTTGTGTGGGTTGTAGACTCCGTCTCATGCTACCACTAGAGTGAAAGCACCGCCAGCATTCAAAAGTGACCAAAACATCAGCCAGGAAGCATAGGAACTGAGAAGTGGTCTGTGGTCACCACCTGCAAAACCAGTCCTTTATTGGGGGTGTCTTGCTAATCACCTGTTGTCTATTCCATTTGCACAACAGCATGTGACATTTATTGTCAATCAGTGTTGCTTCCTAAGTGGACAGTTTGATTTCACAGAAGTGTGATTGACTTGGAGTTACATTGTGTTGTTTAAGTGTTCCCTTTATTTTTTTGAGCAGTGTATAAACGCAACATGTAAAGTGTTGGTCCCATGTTTCATGAGCTGAAATAAAAGATCCCAGAAATTTTCCAGACCCACAAAAAGCGAATTTCGCTCAAATGTTGTGCCCAAATTTGTTTACTTCCCTGTTAGTGAGCGTTTCTCCTTTACCTCCTTCACAACAGTTTTAAGCTGTGCTAACATAATTGCAAAAGGGTTTTATAATGATAAACTTGGATTAGCAAACACAACGCGATGGTTGCTGATAATGGGCCTCTGTACGCCTATTCCATTACAAATCAGCCATTTCCAGCTACAATAGCCATTTACAACATTAACAATGTCTACACTGTATTTCTGATCAATTTGATGTTATTTTAATGGACAAAATATATATATATATATATATATATCGAAAACAAGGAAATTTCTAAGTGACCCCAAACTTTTGAACAGTAGTGTATATCAGGCAAATGAATATGTAAAGTACTTCCAACGAATACTTTGTTGTTTGTGTACAGGGTGCATCAGCAGCATGACGAGGACAGGTTACAGAGACTGGTACAGGAGGAGGCTGTGAACTTTCTATGGAGGCAGGTCAGTAATACAGTAATACACAATGGACTGACTATGGAAACTATGTAAACATAAATGGTACCGTAGATCTGTCACGATACAACGGGATGCGTGTTGGACAAATGAACTTGCAAAGACAGAGGAGCTCTTCATCTCTTCTCACACGTATGGATGGAACCAGAACTTAATCAAGCATCTGACCAATTACTCAAGACTTCAGTTCTGGGTTAACTGAGATTAGTGATAAACAAGGTAATGTATCAACCATATTTAGATTAATGCACACACAACCTTTCTCACTCTTCTCCCCATCTCTCTGCAGCTTCAGTCCATGCAGCAGTGGCAACGTTCTGTAGAGGGGCAGCTGGCCAGCTTGACTCAGGCTGGGTCATCTCCTGCTCCAGCCCTGACCCCCGGGCTCTGTGACCCTCCAGCTCTTCGGCTCCCCCTGCATGTTGCCTTCAGCACTGCAGACCCGGCCTGCACAGACCTCTCCTTTCTGGACTCGGGCTTCCAGTTCACAGGTGAACAGCAGGCGGGGCAGGAAGACTCCTTCCTGAGCTGTGGGACGGGCGACTCTCTGGAGACTGTGCGGGCGCTGGCCGTGGAGGGGTCCCTGGCTCCTGGTGGTGGGGGGGACAGTCAGGACTGCAGTCTTCTGGAGCAGTACCTGTCCTCTGTGCAACAGAGAGAGGCGGAGGAGGGGGGTGCCAGCGACAGAACAGGCACACCACAGCCCCCCTCACCCCTCTCACCGGCTGAAATGGAACAGCCTGACTCCAACACTCAGAACTCCGCCCAGAGCGAAGACACAAAGCAGCATCACACACTGGGAGGTCTAATCTGAAGTGCCTGTCCCTCTCCTGGTCTTCTGGGATTGGCTAAGAGACTGCCCATAAAATCAGTCCACCTGTGCTGATGAATGTTATTGATGGCTCTAACAGCTCCTCTAAGAATTGACTGACTACCATCCATGTAATGATATGTAGTGGTATATGGACTCAAGGATGTGGATATGTTTGTATAGCCCGGATGATTTCTCTCCCTTTTAATTCTCTTGTACTGCTGCTAGCCCGGAGACCTGACTGTTCCTGCATTCAACAACGCTACGTTGTTCATTGTCATGATCTGTCAGTCAATTTGGCTAATGCTTGCTTCACTTACATTGGGGCGACGCGGGAACGGCAGCTCCCGACACCCCTGGTTTTTCCCGACACGCAATTTATATTGCTGCGATTAATGGTCATCCGCAGTGTGTCCCGATGTTAAGTGGTAGCACGTCGGAAGACAAGATTCTCCAGGAGTATCAGATAGAACTACAATTCACATATAAGTGACGTTACCTTTAAGTAGAAACAGATTGGCTAGACAGTTCAGGCTAGACAGCTCAGCTCCAAATGTAATTCCAATTTCTCCTGTATTTAAATGCCTCAATCTATCCTTGTATTCCTGCAGGTGAGTAAGAGGGGACCAGGTCTGGACTAGATATTTGGAGTGAATGTAAATATCACAGCTTGCTGAGGTGGTAGTTTAGTTGCTAAGAATGGTTTGTACTAGACACTGAAATGTATCTCCAGGCCAAATGCAAATTGTAAAAATAAAAAAATCTGGTGCTTTGTGTACACAATAAAATGTTTTCTTTAACATGGGTTCGTTAAATGAAGTATGGCCTTTCCCTAAACTACAGTGCCTTCAGAAAGTATTCATACCCCTTGACTTATTCCACATTTTATTGTTACAGCCTAAATTCTAAATTGACTCAATGTTGTTTTTCTCACCCATCTACACACAATAACCCATAATGACGAAGTGAAAACATGTTTGTAGAATTATTTTGCAAATGTATTGAAAATGAAATACAGAAATATCTCATTTACAGTGGTGTAAAGTACTTAAGTAGTTTTTTTCAGATATCTGTACTTTACTATTTATAATTTTGCCAACTTTTACTTCACTACATTCCTAAAGAAAATAATGTACTTTTTACTCCATACACTTTCCCTGACACCCAAAAGTATTTGTTACATTTTGACAGGAAAATGGTCAAATTCACACACTTACCAAGAGAACATCCCTGGTCATCCGTACTGCCTCTGATCTGGCGGACTCACTAAACACATGCTTTGTTTGTAAATGATGTCTAAGTGTTGGAGTGTGCCCCTGGCTATCCGTCAATGGTTTGCTAAATATAAGGAATTTGAAATTGATTTTACTTTTACTTTTGATACTTAAGTACATTTTAGCAATTCCATTTACTTTTGATACTTAAGTATATTTAAAACCAAATACTTTTAGACTTTTACTCAAGTAATATTTTACTGGGTGACTCACTTTTACATGTGTTGGATTTGCCCCAAACATAACGCTTTGTATTCAGGACATAAAGTGAATTGCTTTGCCACATTTTTTTCAGTATTACTTTAGTGCCTTGTTGCAAACAGGATGCATGTTTTGGAGTATTTTTATTCTGTACAAGCTTCCTTCTTTTCACTGTGTCATTTAGGTTAGTAATGTTGTTGATCCATCCTCAGTTTTCTCCTATCACATTCCTTAAACTTTGTAACTGTTTTAAAGTCACCATTGGCCTCATGGTGAAATTCCTTCCTCTCTGGCAACAGAGTTAGGAAGGACGCCTGTATCTTTGTAGTGAATGGGTGAATTGATACACCATCTAAAGCAGGGGTGGGCAAACCTTTTGGCTCAAGGGCCACATTGAGTTTTTGAAACCAAATGAAGGGCCACATACTATATGTGTGACAAAACATGTGAAGCCTTTATTCATTTTCACATTGACACACTACTAGTGTACTGTAGGTGTACATATGCCTGCAGAACAATTCTACCCTTGTACCATCTCTACCCTTGTTTTTTCATTTTTCTAAACAAATTCACAAAATGGATATAATGTATAACATCACAGACACAGTCAAACACACACACAGATCCTGCATTTCTACTCTTGTAAAGTACAATCAAACTTAGTCACAATATGCAAACTTAAAAATAGATATATATTATATGACTGGAGACATGCAAAATGTAACTGCAGATGTGTAAAAAAAACTATTCTAAAATGTTTGTGAAACATATGGTAAGAACATCCATTTAATTTGGAATGGTCTGTTTTTGAAAGCATATTAAGGAACAATTCTCGTCTCCATTGTGAGCCATATTTACAGTTATCCAATCACCTCAGCCCAAATCTGACTGATTAGTTATTACCTGTATCCAAGTGCATTGCTGGATAATTCTCACTGCATAACCATCACCATGAAAAAGCATAATCCTTGCCTTCCCCAGTCATGGTTATTAATGTGAACAATGGGTCTGGTCACCTGTCTTGGCAAGGGCATCAAAGTCTGGTGTCGATGTGCAACTGTACGTCTCAGTGCGGGACTGCGATGTGGGCGCGTTCAGTGCGGGCAGTGTCGGAAAATGAGCGAGAGACCGGCTGCTCATTTGTCTGGAGAACAACATAAGTTTGGCCTTGAATGCTTTCACGGCCAAAGTTCATGCACAAAAACACAATTTCCCTGCAATTTCACATTTAGATCGTTTAGATGCCCCAATATGACCACACCGAAAGCAAAGTCGCCCAGCCAGTCTGTGTCTTTCAGCTCGGAGAAGTCGTCAGCTTTACCAACCGTATCATGGAACATACCTATCTCCCCTCTCAGTTCCCACACACCGCTAAATACTTTTCCCAAGCTAAGCCAGCACACATTTGAATGGTACAACAAGTCCTGGTGCTCTGCCTCTGTGTCATTGAGCAGCTGAATGAACTGACAATGGTTAAGGCCCCTTGCCCGTATTAAGTTGACAAGTTTTACAACCACTTTGACAACATTTTCCAGCTTTAACACACTTGTACACAGGGCTTCCTGATGAATAATACAGTGAAGAAATATCAATTCCTACGAGTTAGGGCTTTCTTCTTTTACTTTGTCTTGTAATTTTACTTGTTTTACATACTGGCCCCTTGTAGCTCAGTTGGTAGAGCATGGCGCTTGCAACGCTAGGGTTGTGGGTTCGATTCCCACGGGGTGCCGGTATGAGAAAAAAAAATGTATGCATTAAATGTAAGGTTGCTCTGGATAAGAGCGTCTGCTAAATGACTTAAATGTAATCTTTTCGGCCAATGTTTTACCGGTTAGATTTGGTGATCCATCTGTTGTGACATTTGTCAGTTTGCTCCATGGTATATTCATTTTTTTCCAAGCAGGCAGACACCCTGTCATATAAGTCAGAGCCCCTGGTTGGGGCAAAGTCATCAAGCAATTGAAGTGGCTTTGATGACTGAGCGCATTCTGAATCTGACAACTAGGCCCAAATTCAGAGCGCACTGCCAGGCTACAGCGCCATCTATTGGAGGTTGTTTGTATATAATGGAATGAGTAAATTTAGGCCAAAAATCGTAACTGAAATATAATAATATTTATTACATTAAAAAAATGTCTCGCGGGCCGGATTGAAGTGCCCAGCGCGGGCCGTACTTTTTTTTACCCATCTACCAATAGGTGCCCTTCTTTGCGAAGCATTTGGAAAACCTCCCTGGTCTTTGTCGTTGAATCTGTTTGAAATTCACTACACAGCTGAGGGACCTTACAAGTAATTGTGTGGGGTACAGAGACGAGGTAGTCATTCAAAAATAATGTTAAACACTATTATTTAAAACAGAATGAGTCCATGCAAATTATGTGACTTGTTAAGCCCATTTTTACTCATGAACGTATTTAGGCTTGCCATAACAAAGGGGTTAAACAGTTATTGACTCAAGACATTTCAGCTTTTCATTTTGTATTAATGTATAAAAACATAATTCCACTTTAACATTATGGGGTATTGTGTGTTGGCCAGTGACACAAAATCTCAATATAATCCATTTTAAATTCAGGCTGTAACACAACAAAATGTGGAAAAAGTTAAGGGGTGTGAATACTTTCTGAAGGCACTGTATACCTAAACCTAACAAGCCTCGATCACACCGATGGTACAGTAAATGGCATCATCTGGATATGTGTGCAACAAATGTTCAACATTCACCTTCTGCTACCAAAATCCCAACGTATGCACCACACAGAACGCACTGCAACTGCCTCTGCAACGCAATGCTGCAAGGCAAACGCAGCGTTCCATTGGAAATGAATGTACTTCTGAGTACCAAAATGCAAGACACTGTCGGTGTGATCGAGGCGTTAATCTAACCTTAACCCTAACCCTAATTTATTTCGACCCCTATGCCTACACAGGTTTTTGACCCTCCAACTTTGGTCATCTGACACTTCCTTGTCTGTCATGCTCACTTTATGCATCTGTGTTTATGTTCCGTCTCGCTTCCGCATTGTCTCCGTGCTGCTGTGCTGTTTGTTGCTACTTGGCTACCTGCCAAACTATTCACGTTTTACTTTTAATAAACGTTTAATCAATCTCTGTGTTCAACAAATTTAACAAATTTACCAACTTTTTAGTTTTGTCCTCACTCATCTTTTTTCGTTAAACTTTTTCACCCCGGACGTTTTATCCCGAGACAGAAGAGTCATTTTCCTGTGCGTTTTTGCTGCCAACTTTACTTTATTTTCCTTTTTTCCATCGCAACTTTTTTCCCTTATTCAACTTTTTCACTCCGGACGCTTTATCTGGACATGGTTCGTCAACATCTTCAACAGCCGAAGCTAAGTAGTAACATTAACATGATGTCTTCTAATTGCAGTCGCTGTACTCATAATATACAGGAGAACGATCGCCTTACGGCGAGAATAGCTGTGCTACAAGCCCAGCTTCAGACGCAATCGTTAGGCAAGGGTAATATCAGTGTAGGAAAGGAAGAAACAGCGTCTGTGCCACCAGTAAGTACAGATAGTAACGTTAGTATAAATCCCCCCGCACAGTCCCCGCAGCCGGACAACTTTCTCATGGCTTCTGGAGGGAAATACTGTTGGAATGCTCAACCGGTGTCGCTCATTCAGCCGACAGAAACTTTCAACCGGTTTTCCCCATTATGTAGCGAGTCGGAGTCTGAGTCTGAGTCTTCTCTTGTCTCTACTCCTCCCGTTACGGGGTCTGAGACGCCGAAGGCTCCCACCATTAGCTCTGACAAATTGAAAACCCTAGTCATTGGCGACTCCATTACCCACAGTATTAGACTTAAAACGAATCACCCAGCGATCATACACTGTTTACCAGGGGGCAGGGCTACCGACGTTAAGGCTAATCTAAAGATGGTGCTGGCTAAAGCTAAAACTGGCGAGTGTAGAGAGTATAGAGATATTGTTATCCACGTCGGCACCAACGATGTTAGGATGAAACAGTCAGAGGTCACCAAGTGCAACATAGCTTCAGCGTGTAAA